TATTCCCTGCTTGTTGTTTGAAATCATGTGTATGCCGTCCTATTCAATCATCATGTGCTCCACATCGTCGTCTCATGAGTGTATTTTTATGTACTTATTTGAACTTTTATTTTTGTTAAATTATATGTCATATGAACAGTTTACTTAATTTTTAACAAATTTGGTCTCTATGCTTGGGCAACGATATGGCCCATGCGCACACAATTTGGGAACTCAGTTTGGATGCATTTTTTGACATAATTTCAACACCTATAACTACAGAACAAGGACTAAACATTCAAAGATCTCTATTAGCTTCTCATACCACATCATATCACAAAATCCATCAAGAACAAGAGGCAAATTCACATATTTTGGATAGAAGATCAAACCTAGCACGGAGTAGGTTAATTACATAAAAAAAACTTGAAGATTTAGAGCTTGGATTTGAAGGTCAAGACTTATTGTATTCATTCATGTTTCGGGTGATATCTTTTCATTATTCTTCTCGTAATATTATAGAAATCATGCTATGTTAGATTATTGTTTGTATTTGATGAAGATGTAACTTATATTTTCTTATTTTTTATTCAAAGACTCATGGTTGTATGTTTTTGATTTTCTTGATTGATCTTGTATGCTTTGTTGAATTATTTAATTGTTGGCCACAAATTAAGTAATTATTTACTTATTATAGTGTCGAGAGAATAGGTTAGAATTTTGCAATTTCAATACACGAGAAATAGATGTTAGTATTTATAGGGTTGATAATCATGTGCATAAATGCATTATTTTGCATATGAATTCGAAATAAGAATTTGACTGGGTCATGCGTGAAATATGTTTAACTTACCTTGGGATAAATAGTTAGATATAATTTAATTATCGATTATTAAGAACACAAAATATCAGGAATTACATAGGTTGAGAATTGAAAATATGATAAAGATAGGTAGATTCTTAAGTCCCACATTCATCCGTTCATCCATAAAAACAAGCTCAATAGAATAAATTAGAGTAATAATAATAAATCATCACTTTTGTTTCAACATTCGGATTTAATTACACACTAATACAATTTAATTTAAAGCTTATTCCCTATGAGATAGTAACTCACTAAATTATTACTTGTCAATGATCACATATGTTTACGGGTTTTACACGAACAAGTTTTCAAAATTCAATGATACAAATGGCCAAAGTTAAACTAATGACTATATACACGCGCTTATTGGGAGGTAATCCAATTTTATTCATTATGCTTTCTAGATAATAGATTATGTAGTTTTTATTACTTTTGTGTGCTAGATAGTAGTTAAGTATCTGCATCCCCATATTGCTATATAGTTTGTAATGTGTTTGAACTTAGTATGAATTATTCTATATTATTAACTATTGATTTCTCTTTATTTTATAGGAATATAACACCTAAACGCACAAATCTACAATGGACAAGGGAAAGGACGTACCCAAGTTGACTATTTAGAGCCCGTTTGGTACACATTAAAATGAGAGAATACATTTTTTTGAAGTGATGTAATGGAGAATATGTGGTTGAAAAAGAAGGAAAAGTTATTGATGTAATGGAAAATATTATTTTATTGAAAAATTTGTGGTTGAAAATGAGTAGAAGAATGAGAATGAAAAAAATAATGTGGTCCAACCAGTGGCTTAGTTTTAAAAATTTTTGTTCTAAATCAACTTTTCGAAATCAGACATATATCTGGAGTCTCTAATTCCCTTCTTTAATATTTTATTTTACTTGATGATAATTTAAAATATTGAGGAATGCCTGATTTAAGTTTGGGTTGATAAAAATATTGAGTTTTTATTACTTTTGTGTGATTGTGTGAAATTTATTATTTTATTATATACAAAAAATTAAAAAATAAAAAATTTTAAAAATTCCAAAAAACTTGTTGCATTTTTTCTATCGCAAGGGCACGATATCATATCAACTAATATAGTGGACTTTTGAATCT